AAAAAAAGTCATACTTCAACGGAAAACTCTATAGTAATGTATTACATTGGAAATTCCAACGGATATTGCAATGGTATAGCTTCCGTGAGAATGATTCCAACGAAAATTCCAACTGAATTATTCTGTTGTAATGAGTTTTCTATTGAACTAATACGTAGTCAGTGCGATGTACGGGGACAGAGATATTAAATGAATAATTTTCATCGGGTTTGTCGGTTAAGGCCTAAAAAATAATAGAGTTGTATCATCTATTTTCCACTTATTTTCATTAGCGTCATTTTTTTATCGGGACGCTAAACGTGAGTCTGTTAGCGCTAGCACGTAAATTAATTAATATATTATCCCGCAAACACGTTTATAATAATATAAATTTGATTTTAGTATATTATTATTCCTTGACATTAAAAAATAACAAGTTTTCTTAATATTGTTCTTCGTATAATACTCCAATATTATTATTTTATTATAAAATTTATTGTAATATAGTTTCCTTTTTATTATATAAAAGTTATAGATGTGCTCTTCTTCTTCTTTTTATTTTATGTAATGAAAATATTTAATGTACGTTAACATTATTTATTAAAGTAATTAATTTAAATTATGTAAATTAATTTAAAATAAAACATTGTGCACAAATATTTTACACAATATACACAAATATTTATTTAGATTTTCTTTATAATAATTAAACACCTTTGATTTAGTAATTTTCAAAAACTAAATCCCTTCTATAACTAAGAGGTTTTTCTAATTTGTATCATAAGGCTTTATAGTTTATTTTGCATAATATGCAATGATTTTTTGTTTTAAACACCCAAGAAGGATGGGGGGTTAGGTCGGACCCCAAACTGTATATATTAAAAGGCCCTAAATGGGCTGAAAAGTCACAAATCCATAAATAAATCAAAATAAAAAAGTAATAAAAAAATAATCATGGTTAACAATAATATACAAATAAATAAAAAAAATGCCTTAAAACAATTTCACTATGGAAAGAATCAAAATAAAAAAGTAACAAAAAAATTATTTTATTATATATCAATTTTATTATCTGACCATTAGTAAAATTATTTAATATATCTAGTCATTATCTCCTAAATAATAAATTATATTAATTTAAAGATTAGTTTGTTTTTCTTTTTATATATATAATAAAATATAGATGAAGAAAAAATTACTTAACATGTTACAATTTTATATAAATATTTTAGGATGAAGAGTCAATATTTGTGAAAAAAATAATATGCTTAGAATTTAAAATTTATTTTTAATGTCTATCTTGACAATAAAATAATCAATATGAATAACAAAAATAGTTTATTGTAATGAATATCAATGAAGGTATTGTCGATTTTAATAAAATTATTAAAGAAATGAATCTTTTTGATCATATCTAATTTGATCTGATTTTAAATTGTGTATATGGAAGCATTTAATTCATATAATTTAAAAGTTTTCAAAGAAGGTATGCATTTAATGTTCTAAGAATTTTTTTGCTACTACTTGTACGTAGCCCGTGCGATGCACGAGATAGAAATATTAAATGAGTCATTTCTATAGAGCTTGTCCGTTAAGTAGCTCGTGCGATTTACGGGAGATATTAAATGAGTGGACCATTGGGTTTTGTCCGTTCACGCCTAAGAAATAATAGAGTTTGATCATCTATTTTTTACCTCTGTTCGCTCAATGTTATTTTTTTGTCAGGACGTTAAACCTATCTTTTACCTCTTTCATCAATGACATTTTGTTTGTCGGGACGTTAAACTTGAGCCTGGTAGCGCTAGCCCGTAAATTAATTAATATATTATCCCGCTCACATATTTATAATAATATAAATTTGATCTCAATATATATATTTATTCATTGATATAAGAAAAATAACAATATTACTTAATCTTGTTGCTCGTATACTCAATTATTATTTTATTATAAAATTTATTCTAATATAATGTCATTATTAT